GGGGCCGCACAGCTCCGCGAAGTCGTCCAGTGTCGCCCGTGGGCAGAAATGCCGGCAGGGGAGCCCCCGCTGGGGCCCGGAGCGGGTCACCGAGGGCCCTGGCCTGCCCCCACCGCGCACTCACACTCCTAACCCCCCCAGCGCCCCTGGTTTGTGTGAAAGTCCGAGCTACCGAAATGGCAAATCTCCTGTGGCTCCAACGACCCGGAATAAAAGGCCGATAAGATGCGGGATCGAGTGAGCCCGCAGTGTCATCCGCGTGGGAGGAGGTGCCCCCTTGGGACCCAGAGCTTAGTTAGCGTGGTATCAGGCCTGCCCGAGCCATCCCTGCTGGTCCCCAGCGTGCTCCTTAAGGAAGCGGGGAGACCAGTGTAGACAGTGAGTGCTCAGAGTCCCCGCCACGGCTCCCCAGTCCTTGGGCACTAAGACGGGGCGCCTCCCCACCCGTCTGGTCCCTACCCGCAAGGTGGCCTTGGTGCTCACTGCCTTACAGCTCAGCCTCCGGGTCCTTCCACCTCCCAGTACTTTGCCTGCAGAGGCCGCTGCCTGGGGTCCTCCTGCCTCGCTCGCCCGGCGTAGCCACTGCCCCAAGGCTTGGGCAGGAAAGCACAGCCTATGGCCCCCTTCGTCCTGCTGTATTTTTTTCTGAGCATTTGTCACTGTGTGTGTGTATTTACATGTAATTAAAGTTCGTTTATATTTAAGGACTGCTTACGTTTGTTTACATTTGTAAACAAACATGGGTGGATACATCACATATCCATGGAACATAAATGTGTCAATACCTATCAAATTCTGTATACATTTTGTCCATGTGCTTGTCACTCATCTCCTGGAGCTGTGGTCTCAGGCGCACTGGGCCCTCGTCTGTTTTACTCATCAGTGAACCCGCAGCTTCTGGACAGTAGCCAGTAGGGCGCAGTGGACACCCCTAACGAAGCACACTGGGTGGGTGAACCTCTACAGCTGCTTCCGCCCGCCTCCACGTCTGGTATCCGGGGTCCACCCCAGCGCCTCAGGAGTGCCTCCTTGCTGTGGACACCGTGCTCCAAGGGGCAGCCTAGGAGGGGCCAGAGCCCAGAAATGGCCTAGGGTTTGTGGCCTAGACCCCAGGAGGCAGACCAGCTCATAGGCCGCGTTTAACCCAAGGGCATTTTTGTGGTGTAAACGCTCCTATGTGGGCAGATTCCAGGCTCCCACCACCCAGGGTAGGACTCAGGGCTGGGGCGGCCCGGCGCCCCATGGCATCTCGTGGCCTAGGCCCCCGGGCCTCCGCATGTGCCCTGTGTCCCAGGGCATCACGCTTGGGGGCCTTGTGCCAGTTATTGGTGGCTGGCCCTGCCTGTGACTCTGATCTCCCATGCTGTCAACTCTACCCAAGGAGAAGGAGCTATCACTGATGCTGAGGAGCACAGGCCGAGGCCGCTTCAGGGACGTTCCGTCCTTGCTCTGACCCCGTGTGCCTCTTTGGCTCCTACCTCTCCTCATGGCAGGCCGACCTGCGGCAGCAACAACCCTGAGTTCAGCCCCCTTTTGCAGGGAGGTGGGGAGCCCAGGACACCCAGAGTCACTCCAGCTGCCCAGGACCGGACAAAAATGCAGGGAAGAGTGGGCTTCGAAGACACCGAGCTCACGGCGGCGCTTCGTAACTGCAGATTCCGACCCAGTGTGTGCGAGGTGGGCCCTGGAGCCCGCCCTTCTCACCAGCTCGCCGCCCCACCTTGCGTAGCGAGGTTCGGGGTCCGAACGGCCAGCTTCGGGCCTGGTCCTCTCACTGGCCTAACTCCCGAGAGCGAGTCACTTCTCCCTCTAGGCTTCAGTTTCCTCCTCTGCAAACAACTCTCATTTCACTCCTGCCCTTAGAGGAAGAGCTTTCGGCCTCTCACCACTGAGAACGTTGGCTGCGGGCGCGTCGCATACACCCTTCGTCAGATCGAGGTGTGTTCTGTCTATACACAAGTTGTCGAGTTTTTAACCATGAATGGGTGTTGAATTTTGTCAGATGTTTGTTTCTGCATCTATGGGCGTGATCACGTGGTGTTGTGTGTGTCGAGCCATCCTTGCATCCGAAGGATGAGCTGCGTCCATTGCGGTGTGTGATCTTTTTCGCACTGTCGTGACTTTGGCTTTGCCAGGGTTCCGCTGGGAACTGTTGCATCTTCATCCATCAGGGACACTGACCTGTACCTTCCTTTCCTTGTCGTGTCTTTGTCTGGCTTTGGTATCAAGGTAACGCTGGCCTCATAAAATGACATGAGCGGTGTTTCCTTCTCTTCCATTTTTTTTTTTTTTTTGAGGAATTTGAGAAAAATGGAAGGCAATTTTTTCAATGTTTGGTAGAATTCACCAGTGAAAGCATATGGTCCTGGGCTTTCCTCTGTCGAGAGATTTTTGATTACTGATCCAGTCATCTTATTCATTATTGATTTGCTCAGATTTTTTATTTCTTCATGATTCGGTCTTTGTAGTTTGTATATTTATGGAAATTATTCATTTCTTCTAGGTTGTTCGGTTTATTGGTGTATAGTTAGTTATTCGTAGAGGTCTATTGTGATCCTCTGTATTTCTGGGGTACCAGTTGCAATGTCTCCTCTTTCATTAATAATTTTATTTATTTGAGCCCTTTCTTCTTTTTCTGGATTAGTCTAGGTAAAGATTTGTCAATTTTGTTTATCTTTACAAAGAATCAATTCTTAGTTTAGTTAACTTTTTCTATGGTTTTCCTATCATCTCTTTCATTTATTTGTACTCTAATCTGTGTTATTTCTCTTTATTCTGCTAAATTTGGGCTTAGTTTGGCAATCTGACTGGCAATTGTTTACACACGAACAGACGTGACCGCACTCCCAGTGCTTCCCAGAGCAGCTGCACGCTTACTGCCTAAGGAAGAGTCACATCATGGCCGAGGGAGGAGCAGCTGCCAGAAAGGATGGGCCCCCTCACCAGCCTCGGGATCATCTTGGGTGCTTCTCACCCGTGCTCAGCAGAATCACACTTCCTTCCGGGGCCTTGCTAAAACGAAAGAGCAGGACGGAACATCAGACCAGTGGCTGCCGCAGGGCTCCTGTGTTCAGGTTGGCGATCCCATTTTTTTTCTTTTGTTTTACTCATCGAAAGAAAAACAGAGATGAGAAGAGGCTTCTCAGCCAGCCGGGGCGCCAAGGCAAACAGGCATATGCCGAAATCGTGCGCTGTGCTCCTTCCCACACTCGCAGGTTAAAAATTCACCCGAATAAACAAATCTCCCCTGCAGGAACCTCTGGAATGTTTGCTCCTTGTACATCTCACTCTCAATTTTCCGATTAACCACTTGACCATCACATGTTTCTTGGGCAGTAAGTCAACTTGAGGCCCCACCTCTGTCGAAGTATCTAAGATCCCATGGGTCGACAGAGGGGGGAGGTCAGACCCCCTCAACATGAGCTTCGGAGGAAGCTGGTGCCCACAGTGCATGACAGGTGCTGCCCACTTGAGTAGGCACCGGCTCCACAGCCCAGGGGCGCCGTGCCCCGAGCCAGGCTGACTCCTCCGAGGGCACTTGGTCAGGACGCTGGCGTCTGCTCTGCCCTGGTGGCAGCTCTTCTAGTGACCCTCGGGGCCTCCTCTAACCACCACCAGCCTCCAGGGCCCCCGGGAGCAGGTGGGTCCCTGGATTCTAGAGCAGAGGGCTCATCGCAGCTCCCCTCCAGCCCGGGGAGACAACATAGGGAAGCCATACGAAGCGCACCTGTTCTCACCGTGGTCACCCCACCTGCTTGTCCCACGTTTGCATAACTAATGAGAGCACCCAGTGCCTCCAAGAAGAATGAGGGGGATGTGGTTCTGAGCAGCTCTGAGTGAGGGAGGGACAGGGCTGCGTGGGGCCTCCTGGCCCCACGAGCTGCACCTCAGGCGATGACGAGGACAGGCGCCAGACACTGCGGAGGAGAGGGAGCCCCTCGCCCCATCAGCGCTTTCTCCTGGTCAGTGAAAAGCAGCGACAGGCTCCTGGGAGGGAGCTTCCCGCCTCCCGTCCTTCATCCCTTAACTGTCCCCAGAGACCCTCAGGGCCAGCAGCATGAAGTCCAGTAAAGGTACTAAAATATAAAGCTTTTTCCTTTTTTTTTTTTTTTGACTGTGATGTCTCTCTCAACTTGTCACTTCCTATTGACTGCAATTCTAGGCGGAGAAAATCTAAACCCTTTGAATCAGCGGCGTCCATTTTACCCTTCACTTTTATGTCGTAGATGGGACCGTGAGAGCCGCTCACGCACATGCGGGCTCATCACGGCGGCGGGCCGCGTTCCGTAGCTTGGACGCGTGCGCAGATCTTGGTGGTGCTGGAGCCGGGGAACCGCGCACAGAGCTGACCGCCCCTGACACGCGCACACGCACACGCACGCTGCCCGCGGCGGACCACACGGGGACGAAGCGGCAGGTTCTCCTATGCTTCTCTTCCCTCCGTGTCACGATGCCTGGCCGAGGCATAACGAACCCAGCGAGTGTAAACCAGAGAGAGCTTCAGAAAAGAGGAAAAACTCACAACTCCGCTCGTCCGTGGAGTGTGGGGTCCCGTGGGTCAGCCCGGGTCCTGGCAGGGAGCGCGTGTATCTGTGCACCGGTGCGTTCGCGCGCGCACGCGTGTGCATGTGCACTGCCCTGTTCCACACTATAATCTCTCTCTCGTTTGGAGAGTTTGTGAAGACAGATCCCAGGGCAATGGCCTGGCTTCTGGAGCCAGGAGGAACTGAAGAACCCTGCTCCGTGGAGAAATAGCCTCTCCGCACTCTAGGCTGCGAGCAGCTAAGGACGAAGCAGAGTATCTGTGGATGCCCCTGGCCTTGGTGAAGACAGGGTGACCGGTCTCAGAACGATGACGAGAACACGCGCACAAAACTGGCGTGGTCAGGTGTTTGTCGTCCCGGACGATATGCGTAGAGAGCAATCGAGCCTGCTCCATTTCCGTCTATGGAAAAGAGCGCAAATAACGGGGACAGTTCCAAACCGCCGCGCAGCGACCTCTGAGTTCCGGGCGCCGGCCGCCGGCTGCATGACCTTTCCTCGGCCCTGTGGCTTCAGACGGTAGAAGGTTAAGTGCCGTCAGCCCCCAGCTGGAGGCTTTAAACTTCACTCCGTCTTCTGTTTTTTTTTTTCTGTTGACTTGGAAGCTCTGGTTGATTAGAATAAAGAGAGGGTGATGGTGTGACAGGCAGGAAAACAATCCAGAGACCATTCGAATGGGCCTGGTCGAACCTGACGGACCTGCTTAACACTTAAGAGGCAGCCAGTGGAGGCGTCTCCCCTTTCTAGAGCCAGGCGGAAAACGACCAGGCAGGTTCTGACATTCAGACAGTGCTCCAGGCACTTGCGATTTCTTATCTAGATGATGGTGCCAGACTCCAGTCACCTGTTCATACTGCCAGTCCCACTGCCCCACCTGGAGTCACCAACCAACATCGCTCTCCCTTACTTATCCTTCAGTGGCTTCCATCACCCCAAAAATGGCAAGTCGAAACGTTGCATGTAACGCTTAGAAATCTGGCCTCCATTTCATCCTCCTGCTTTTCAGTGGGACCGGGTGTGCCGAGCAGGTGATTCCACCGGCTCGGTCACTCAGGGTTCGGTTTATCTGGGTGGCAGTAGCTAGAATTTTGCAGGGAATCCCCTCCAATTTTTACATGTTAGAATTTTAAAGCACCGTGTTGACTCTCCCAAACATAACTGCAGGGCAAACACAGACAGACAGACGCCAGTATGCAACCCGGGAGGGAGCATGTGGACGAAAACTTTCTACTTTGGAGTTTATCAGTCTTCTAATCACAAGTCAAAGAGAGCCATCTACCCCAAGGACAGCAGGACGCACGTTCTCTCCCAGTAGACACGAGATATTTATCAGGACGAAAAATCTTCTGGATCATAAAAGAAATGTCAACAAACATGACAACGTTCAAATTATAGAAAGTACATTTTCTGAGCAAAATAGAAGTAAATTAGAAATCAGTGACAAACCCGACAAAAATAAATGCCATATGAATTGAGAGCATGTAGAATCTAAAAAAAAAAAAAAAAACAACAAACCAAGCGAACCAACGAAACGAAACAGAAACAGACTCATAGACACAGAGGCCAAGCTGACGTCTGCCAGAGGGGAAGGTAAGGGGACAGGAAAGGGGAAGGGGGTTAATACGTACAAACTGCCAGCTGCAAAATAAGTCCCAGGATGTCAGGTACAGAGTCGATAATACCGGGATAACTAGTGGGGTGTCAGATGGAACGAGACGTCCCAGGAGGAATCAGTTTGGAAGCTATTTAAAGCTGAATCACTATGAAACACATGTAATAGTGTATGACGACTATAATTAAAAATAAATTTAAAAGAGAACAAATACGCTTTCCACCCTAAAATCGGTAAAGTGACGACTGGCAGCAGACTTGACCTTACTGATAACTAACCAGCACAGAACACGCATTCTTTTCATGCACATATGGAATATTAATCGAAATCAATCTGGGTCAAGAAGCATCTTTCGACAAATTTTAGATAATCGAACTCATTGGCAGTATGTTCTCCGAGCCCGGTAGAAGTAAGCTAGGAATAATTTTGAAAAAAGAAAAGAATCCCTAACTTCTCGTGGGTATAATAAAAGGTATATCTGACATCTTTTGTCGGTTGCTGTTTTGTGGCACAGAGCTTCAAAAATCCTTCAACTCTCCTGATCGGATTGCCTTTTGTTTTTCATAGTGAGTCACTTTCGACTACATCTGACTTTATGCTAGTGAGGTGACTCATGGTTGTCCTTGAAATAGTGTCAAGGGAGCAGCTGGCCTTGTCAAAGGAACTGAGCCCCTGAAGAGAGGATTAAAACCCTCAGCCTCATCCCCCGGCCCCTAGGGTAGGGACTGAGTTCTCTCCTGTGGCCTATGGTTTAATTCATCATGACTGTATAACGTAACCTGGATTAAAACTCTGAACACAAGGCTCAAGGGAGCTTCCTGGTTGGTGAATATATTTATGTACCTAGAGGGTGGCTACACCTGACTCCAGGGAGACAGAAGTACCTGCATTTGGGTTTTTTCTAGTCTTGCCTCTTGTACCTTTTTATCTGGCAGTAATTGTAAGGGACGGGCGTGGAAAGAGACGGGGGGAGGGGAAGGGAAGAAGGGAGGGAAGCAATGACAAAGTTAATATCTGGAAAATCCGAAATTTAGAAAAGCAAATGCCACATGTCTAAATAAGCCAAAAAAAAAAAAAAAAGAAGTCAAATGGAAGTTGGAAAATATTTTTAATTGAAGAGAATGAAGATACCTTGTATAGATTCTGTGGGGTGCTGTTAAATCAGCCTCAAGGACAATGTATAGCAGTAAAGACCTGTGTCAGAAAATAAGCAAGGCCTCGAAATAATGAGCTCAGTTTTCACCTTAAAAAACTAGAAAAAAGGAAATGAAATTTAGCACAAACTAAGCAGATGAAACCACAGAGAGCAAAACAGAAATTAGTGAAACAGAATGCAGACAAAACTTCAGAGACAGATCAATGAAACCAAATGCTGGTTCTTTGAGATCAATGAAATCGGCAGAAAAAGAGAAAAGGTACAAAAAATGATTGACGTCAGGGATGAGAGTGGTCATATCACTTTAAATTCTACAGATATTAAGAGATTAAAAAAGTTAACATGATGAGCAACGCTATTTTAATAGAATTGGCAACTTAGATAATGTGGACAAATTCCATGACAGACACAAATTGCCAGAGTACATTCAGAAAAGAACAGCCTAAAACTCTCGATATCTGCTAAAGACATTCAATTTGTAGCTAAAAACTGAAGCTAAAAATGGTAGCTGAAAACCTTCCCACAAGGAAAATTTCGGGTCCGGATGGTATCAGTGGTGAGTCCACAAAACATTTAAGGAGGAAGTAGTACCGACTCCACAGAAAGGTCTCTGCGCAGCTGCAGAGGGGAGCGGCCTGACCTTGACACCACAACCCACGAAGACGGTGCGAGGGCATCAACGAACGAACGAACAGCTACAACCAACGCTCCTCGGGAACAAATTCAAGTCAGTAATTTGTAAAAAATATGTGCAATGTGATTAAACATAGTGATCAAAGAGATAAATTTATTCTAGGCATAAAAAGTTGGTTTGATTTTTTTTAAAAACTCAATGTATTTCACTGTTATATAATAAAATAAAACATATGATCATCTGAATACCAAAAAAAAGCATAAAATAAAATTAAAACATCTATTCCAGATTTTAAAAAAAACGCTCAG